GAGGGCACTTGCATGTCTTCAATTTTCCATATGGGTGTTTATCGGGCGGGCTGGGAGGGTTGAACAAAAAAAAAACCAGCCTATCCGTTATCGGACCGAGTTGGTTAGCGGGCTGGGATAACGGGTTGGTAACCGGTTGGGAATTTTCGGGTTATTGTGGGCCCGTTCGGGTTTGGGCTTAACGGGCTCGACGGGCTGGGCTAGTGTAAATTTTTTAATTAAATCAACGGTCCAAATAATTAAAAAAAAATAAAAATTATAACGGTAACCGGGCTGATAACGGGCTGCAGCCTGTTAACAACCCGTTAACGGGTTAACGGGCTTAGCGGGTACGGTGCACCGTTATCCAAAATATGTTCGTCCAAAACCCGCCCCCCGACCAACCCGTCCTAGCCCGCACATTAAGCTACAGTAACGGGCTGAACCGGGCTGACCCGGGTTGAAGCGGTTGAAAACGGGTCAGCCCGACCCGATTAACACATATAATTTTCCACCTTGTTTTCACTTCTGAAAAGTGTAGAGGAAATAATGGATGTTTGATATGTAGTTTTGGTTAATTGGTTTCAAGAATTTTCACATGATGAACTTGTGACTACTAATAAAAGTTGTGCAAAATAGAATTTCTCCTCCTCGTCCTCGCTTGTTCCTTCTTCTTTTTCTCCTCCTTCTCATCTTCTTCTTCTCCTTCTTCTTCCTCCTCCTTCTTTCAATAAAATATGAGTACATTGGAAAGAATGAAATATATGATATAGAAAATTAAAGGCTCTTTGCTTATTTCTAGTTGAAATTGGGTGGGTAATATTCCATTGGGCTTATATTGTCGAACGTTGTTGATATTATTTATATACATTATTTTGCATATCATGTATTGCATTGTATTTATTTTTTATCCCTTTTATTCTTCTTACTTGTATAGTACTTACATCGGGTCTTAGTAAGGTGTTAGTTAACATTAGTTAGTGAGTTATTAGTTTGGACACTATAAATAAGACATTATTGTACTCTCTTATTTTGAGTTGTGAGAATGAAAATACATCTCCCCTTTCTAGAAACTTCATTTGTGTTCTCTCTCTCTTTTGCACATTCTGTGTTTCCGCCATTAGAGCTCACACTGAGATCATGTCCTCTTCCTCGTTTATCTCTGTCACATGGTACCAGAGCACAATCATTAGCCTTAGAGTCTCGCTGTCTCACACTTCGTTTTTCTACTCATACGATCAGAAATTGATGGTTGATTTTGGGAATTAGGGTTCCAGTGTAGAAATCGATCGATTAATCTTATTTATTCGTCTTCGTTATTAACGATTTCATATCAGCTGAGCTAAATCATGTCCGCAGAGGACGAAATTCCGGTGACGGATAAAATAACCCTAGATCCAACAAGTCCGTTGTACATGCATCCATCAGAAAGTGCCGGATCTATGTTAGTTCCGTAGAATTTGACGGAACTGGTTATAGATCATGGAGAAGAGGAATCCTCATAGCACCCTTCGTGAAAAATAAACTAGGCTTCATCACCGAAAAATGTAAAAAATCAGACCCTAATTCTGTTACCCTTGACCAATGGAAGCGATGCGACGATATGGTGACTTCATGGATCTTAAACTCACTGTCTAAGGACCTAGCGGACAACCTACAATATACGTTAATGACACTAGAGAGCTTTGGCAGGAATTGGAGGACAGGTATGATCAGACTAATGGTGCTAAGTTGTATCAGCTCCAAAAGGAAATAAATGATTTGAGTCAAGGGAATTTGGACATTACTGGATATTATACAAAGATGAAGAAACTCTGGGAGGAGCTCAACACACTGAACATACATGTTAAGTGTGCTTGCAAATGCACATGTGGAGCAAGAGAAAACATGCACAATGCTGAGCAAGATAGAAGATTGATTCAGTTTCTGATGGGGCTTAACGAAGTGAGTGGAAGCATTTTGATAATGAATCCTATCCCAACAATAGCCCAAGCTTTCTCTATTCTCATTCAAGAGGAGAAGCAAAGGGAAGTCAAACCAAGCAATCATTTTTCAATAGATTCTGCTGCCTTGAATGCAAGTGGACCAGGAAATAACAACTTTAGAACAAACTATAATCAATAGGGGAACAATAATATAAACAATGGATATAAGGGGAATCAGGTCAATAATAAACCTAGGCTATTCTGTGACTACTGCAAGGGGCCAGGACACACTAAGGAGAAATGCTACAAACTTCACGGATTCCTACAAAATTTCAAGTTCAACAAAGGAAGAAAAAGTGCAGGAAATGTATTTGGGTCATCAAGTGAGGGTGCTGCAATGAAGGATGATGGAAATGGCTCTCAAGGTCAGGAACAGAGTCGAACTATGCACAATTTGACCAAAGAACAATATGGACAACCACTCAGCATCCCGGAAAGCTTTCAAGGAGGAGGAGACAAGTCCACAAGCACTACCATCAATGGAGGAGCTGTGAACTTTGCAGGTATCTCGGCATGCTCTACTCATTCTGATTCTAGTGATCATTTGTGTGATAGTTCTAGTTCAAATGCTGACTCTTGGATCCTTGACTCTGGAGCCACAAATCATATGACATATAATAAATCACTGTTAACCAATATCAGAACTTTAGTTTACCCATACTTGGTCACTCTACCAAATGGCTACAAAGTTAAGGTGACACTGATTGGTGATGTAGTTCTAAGTCCTAGGTTTAGTCTCAAAATGTCCTCTTTGTTCCTAGTTTCAAGTTCAATCTAATATCAATCCATTCTCTGACAGTTCAGCTTGATTGTATTGTGGTATTTACCAAATATGTTTGTATTCTTCTACAGGGCCCTTCACTGAAGAAACCACTAGAGATTGGTAAGGCCAAGACTGGCCTGTACTACATTGTTCAAGCAACTACAACACTGGTTCAACTTCCTCTAATTCTTCTAGTACATCCCATCCATGTCTACTAGTAATAAAGATGAGGTATATTCTACAGTCAACACATCTAGCTCATTTTCTCCTTCTCAATTAGTTAACACAAATAAACTAGATTCTACTATTCCTGTTGCATCCACTATGGTTACCCCATCTCATAGTAGTGATAGAAGTAGTTCTCTTCCACATTCACATCATTCTGTAAATAGTTCAAGCAATAAACTGACTCCTGTTTGTCTGATGTTTCCTCTACTACAGAACATTTACTTGATCTTTTGTGGCATAATAGATTAGGACATGTGCCTTTTGTCAAAATGAAAGGGATTTCCTCTATACTTGTTAACTTTGCACCCAAACAGCCCTTTCTTTGCCCCATTTGTCCAATGGCAAGACAAACCAGATTGCTTTTCCCAGAAAGAACAACACTGACCACTAAGATTTTTGAATTACTACACATTAACTTGTATGGTCCATATCATGTCACAACACATAGAAAATATAAATACTTTATCACCCTTGTGGATGATTGCAACAGGTCCACATGGACTCACATATTAAGCTGTAAAAGCAATGCCCTGCACACTATCAAGGCTTTTTCTGCCATGGTAGAAAACCAATTCAACTCTAGCATCAAGACCATAAGAACTGAAAATGGTCTTGAGTTCACCAGCCTTGAAGCCACTTCATTTTTTCAATCAAAGGGCATTATACATCAAAAAACATGCCCGTATACACCATAATAAAATGGTGTGGTGGAAAGAAAACATAAATATACCTATTAGAAACAGCCATGGCACTTCTGTATCGGTCAAAATTGCCCATGGAATATTGGTGAGAGTGCATACTGACATCTACCTATCTAATAAACAGACTACCCTCTTCATCACTCAAAACCAAATGTCCATTTGGACTACTGGACCTAAAGAAACCAATTTACTCTCATCTCAGAAGTTTTGGCTGTTTATGCTTTCCTACCACCCTCAAAACACACAAAGATAAGTTTGAACCAAGATTTACTCCCCATGTTCTTGTGGTATATTCCTTTGGAACAAAAGGCTATAAGGTACTAAATCTGGCCACTAAGAAGATAAGTGTTTCAAGAGATGTAGTATTCTATGAAAGTGTGTTTCCTTTTGCTATGTCCTCTAGTTCAAGTAAGGTATTCCCTTCATTTCCTCAAATGAAGTCAAATCTATCAGATGAATTCTTTCCTTCCAATGATATAGGGAGTATTCCACAGTTAGTAAATGAAAATCACCATGAAGTGTCACCAGGGAACTTGACTAGGAGTGAACCATTGTCTAAATCAGACCAAATTTCACATCAACCTACTTCTTTTGATAATCATTCCAGAGTTTCTCAATCATCCTTGAGCAGTCAGACATCAGGAACCTCTCATGTTGCTGACAGTCCAAGTGAAATTTTTCCTGCTACTCCTCACAATCAAAATATTACAACTCAAGGTCAAGACACCTCAGTCTTAAATCAGAACAGACCTTCCAGAACTTTGAAAATTCCCACTTATCTTGAAGACTATGAGTGTGCAATTCCCAAACTTCAGCGTACTCATCAGAACCAATCATCCTCTCTAAATGACAGCCAAAGTACACGGTCTTTTTCTTTCAGCACCTCTGTACCCAAGCCTCATCTCAATTTATTCAACGCTTTAAATTCCACCAGTCATCATTTGATGGGAACTGCCTTATATGAATGTGAACCTAGTTCATATGAGGAAGCTGTTGTGAAGCCTGCTTGGCAAGCAACAGTGAATCAAGAATTTCAAGCATTGTATGCAAATAAAACTTGGGACTTAGTCCCTCTTCCCATTGGAAAGAAGGAAATAGGGTACAAATGGGTGTATAAAATCAAGCATAAAGCAGATGGTAGCATAGAAAGGTTTAAGGCAAGACTAGTAGTTAAGGGCTACGCACAACAAGCTGGGATAAATTACACAGAAACTATCTCACCAGTAGTGAAAATGATAATTGTAAGGGCTTTAATTGCAACAACACCTCAAGAAGGGTTGGCAGGTACTACAATTAGATGTTAATAATGCATTCCTTCATGGAGATCTCCATGAAGAAGTATACATGGATGTACCGCCAGGCCTAGTTGTGGAGGCACCAGGTTTAGTGTGCAGGTTAAACAAGTCCCTATATGGACTCAAACAAGCAAGTAGACAGTGGTATGAGAAACTAACTGAAGCATTATGTTCTAGGGGATACACTCACTCAATGCTTGATTGTTCTTTGTTCTATAAGAAAACTGAAAGATCAATAGTATTTGTAGCTGTTTATGTAGATGATGTTCTTGTCGCTAGCACCCATCTACAAGAGATTGAGTCTTTGAAAACCTTTCTGCATAATACCTTTAAGATAAAAGACCTAGGAAGACTTCATTACTTTCTAGGTTTAGAAGTTCAATACACAGAAAGAGGAGTTTTGATGTCACAAAGGAAATTCACTATGGATCTTTTGAAAGAGTTTGGTTGTATAGACAGTCCTCCTATGACTTCTCCTCTAGATTCCTCTCTGAAGTTAAAGGCGGATGAGGGAGCTCGATCGGCAGATCCTTCCTATTACAGGAAGTTGATTGGAAAGCTCAACTTCCTCACTAACACTAGGTTAGACATTGCCTACAGTGTGCAACATCTTGGTCAATTCATGCAAAGTCCCAAAGAACCTCATTTGAAGGCAGCATATCATGTCTTAAGGTACTTGAAAGGTGATCCATCATTGGGTATTTTCCTTAGTAATGATGCAGATTATAGAGTGAAGGATTTTTGTGACTCAGATTGGGCCACTTGTCCCCGGTTCAGAAAATCAGTTAGTGGGTACATAGTGTTGCTTGGTGGCAGCCCCATTAGTTGGAAATCTAAGAAGCATTCCAGTATCTCCCTATCCTCTGCAGAAGTTGAATACAGATAAGCTAGGATGGTTGTTGGTGAACTTGTTTGGCTAGCCAGAATTCTTGCTGAACTCATTGTTCCTCTAGCCTTGCCTATTCCCATATTCTGTGATAGTCAAGCTGCCTTACACATAGCAAGGAATCATGTGTTCCATGCGCGTACGAAGCAGCTTGAAGTGGACTGCCACTTTGTGCAAGACCAGCTGCAGGAAGGATTGATTTCTCTCCACCATGTCACCACTAATGATCAAATAGCTGACTAGGGGTGTGCATCCGATTTATCGATTCGATTTTGACCCTTATCGATTATCGATTTGTACATATGCTTATCGTTATCGTTTCAATAAGGTTTCAATTTTTTCGATTTTGATTTATCAATTTTTGGGGCTTATTGATTCGGTTATCGGTTACACCAATAAGAAAATTTGCGGGATTCCACGGAAAGTATATCGCTATAAACATGCTTAACTAATATGGACCAAAAGAAGCTAAAATAAGACGAACACCATTTATAATAAAAAAATTGTGTCAACAAGCACATGCAACGAAACTAAAGTAAGGGATCAAATGTATGCCACCAACATTCCAACGGTATAAAAAAAATACATCATCACGGCTAATTCTATTTTTCATTAATTTGAACTTCATTCCCTTGAGCTTTAAATATGATCATTCCTTAAATGTGATAGATGAAATAATAGGGTGTGTGATAGATGAAATAACAGGGTTAGGGACTTAGGGTAAAGGAAAGGGTATTATAGAATAAGGGCAAAAAAAAATTAATTTTTTTTTAGTATTTCTTATCGGTTTATCGATAAACCGATAACCGAAGAGGACAAAATTGAAATCGAAATCGATAACTCGATAAGGAAAATTTCGAAATCGAAATCAAAATTGATAAATCGATAAACCGATAACAAATAATCGATTCGATTTATCGATAAACCGATTCGAATGCACACCCCTATAGCTGACATCTTCACCAAGTCTCTAACATGAATCAAACATTCTACACTTCTTGGCAAGTTGCAATGAGCTCCTCACCTCCAACTTGGGGGGGGGGGGGGGAGTGTTGAGATTATTCATATACATTTTTGTATATCATGTATTGCATTGTATTTATTCTTTCATCCCTTTTATTCTTCTTACTTGTACAGTACTTACATCAGGTGCTAGTAAGGTGTTAGTTAACATTAGTTAGTGAGGTATTAGTTTGGACACTATAAATAAGACATTAATTATACTCTCTTATTTTGAGTTGTGAGAATGAAAATACAGCTCCCCTTTCTAGAAACTTCATTTGTGTTCTCTCTCTCTTTTCCACATTATGTGTTTCCGCCATTAGAGCTCACACTGAGCTCATGTCTCTCTTCCTCGTTTATCTCTGAATTTCACAAACGTTAATGATTTGATCGAATCTATTTGGTTGAAGAAGATTGAACAACACTATCGTTATGTTTTAAACTCGTTGAAGAAGACGATGTTAGTCTATTGAATTTTGAAGGTTTCAGTTGATTTAACCATTGAAAATATTGGATTGACATCAGAAATTTGGAGTCATTTGGCATTGATTTGGAGCAATTTGAACGAAAATATTGGCAGAATAGCCTAAACGGCACTTGTACTTCACCCACTTTGTCATGCCGGTCCCCAAACTTACATATTTGCCAATTGAACACTTATACTCATTCAAAACGTGAATAATAAACGCTTATCCAACGTGGCTTATCCTATGTGTCATATGTGGCTGCAGTGCATGATTCACACGCCTGTAAGGGGCGTGAAGACAGTAAAAAAAGCCCTAACGGTAATAATTTAGCCTATTTAACATCCATCTTCTTCTTTGTACCTTATTCTCCATTGTTGAACATTGTAGAAGCTAAATTTAGCAAATCTGATGCCTTCTTCTTTCTTTGTTAGCTTCAACTGTCAAAAATAGAATTTTAATTTCATGTGAATCTTCTTTGCCCATCAATTTTTGCAATCTCCTTTTGTTTTGAAAGTGGATTTTTTTCTGCTTCTCCTGCAACAAATACGCTATTGCCGCCTCTTCTCCTTCAACAATGAGGATGCAACCTTTGTGTTATTGTGGAGTTGCTGCAGATCTTAAAATGTCACGAACACCCACCAATCCTGGAAGGAGGTTCCTGGGCTGCCGAAGATATGAGATTGGTGAAGGTTGTGGCTTTTTCAGATGGGTTGATCCTGCGATTGAGGAAGAACACTACAAGACTCTTCTTGCGGCTCTTATTAAGAAGAGTGATCGATGCCATTGTCAAAGAAGTCAAGGAAGGTCGAAGTTGAGAGTTGCTGCTATTATAATTGTGGTTGTACTTGTTCTAATGTTAGCTATTATGTTATTTGTTTAGGATTGATAGTGCACTTTGTTATTTCCTGGGTTTAGGCTACATATTTTGTGTTGATGTAAAATTTTGTTCATGAAATATATTGACAAAGGCTCCATTACAGCAACAAGTACTAATATAATGGCCTGTGTTATAGGCAGTTAATAAAACATCCAAAATAAGGGAGTTGGTTTACAAAATATTGTCAATGATAGGCAATCAACAAAAACATACATAATGAAGTAGCTTTACAAAATATTATCTACCACAGTCAACAAAAACATAGTAAATATCAGTTGAGCACTTCAATTAATGTCTGTTGTGGCTTGGCTGCTTGGTGTGGATTGTGTAACTGGTGTGGCTTGAGTGGTTGTAGCAGACTTTGCCCTTCTGTAACTCTGTTCTTGCAGCTGCCTTTGTGTAACTGTTGGTCGGCCCTTCCACTTTAGTCCAGGTGGTTTGAACCTAAGTTCAATGTTGGTAGGAGCAGAACTTATGAGTGTAGAAGGATTGTGTACCACTCTGTCAGTAGTTCCAGACTGCACAAAAATAAAAGGTTGTGAGTGAGGGATTATGTAGTAAACCATTGTGTAATTGAGTTGAAATATTTACCCTCTGTATAACAGTGCCACTTGAATCAAATAGCACATCATATCCTGCTGTCTTTGTTCTCTTAGACCCTGCATTTGCACCACCTCTTCTAGGCTCATTGGTCTTCCTTTTTGGACCTCTTGCAACATTAGTTGATTGTTGTGTGCTTGGATCAAGGATTGCTGGTGTTGTTGATGCACTTGCAGGTATTGTTGATGCACTTCCAGCTGCTGCAGTTCCACTTTCAGCAGTTTCACCTCTACCTGAACTAGTTCCAGCCCTTCCCTCTTGGTTTTTCTGCATACACATAACAAAACTATCACTAGTAATTGAATTCTTTCAATATTAGTAACAAAACAAACATTAATACTTACTGCTGATGGGCATCCTTTCTTGTTATGTCCTACAGTCTTGCACAAAGAACATCTCATTTGTCTCCCTATCCTTGTACCCTTCCCAAACTTCTTCTTTGGTTCATCAGCAGCCTTTGTCCTTTTTTTCTTTGGCCTTCCCGGCATTGCAGTTATAACAGGTGGCTCAATAGCTGGCAGTGTGCTTGTTGGCCACAAATTCATACTAGTTAAAGGTTGAATGAATCTGCTATATGCCTTAAGGTAGGTATCCTTTCTATACCAATGGTCAACATATGGCTCAACCTCATAGTTCTTGTAATGCATTGCTGTAATTGCATGTGCACATGGAATTCCTTTGAGTTGCCATGATCTACAAGTACAGGTATATGCCCTAAAGTCAACAACATGTTTATATGGCCCATCCTGGATCTCATACCCTGTTTCACCATTAAATTTGACTTCACATTTGGCTGCCCTTTGAGCATTCTCTCCAAGTATTTCCATAGCCATGGGTGATATCTCACCTACCCATTTTTCAGAAAACTCTCTCATGCTATTCATCCTCTCCATACACTTGATTCTAATTTCCTCTAACATAGTAATGATAGACTTGTGCCTAGCTGCCAATATCCAACTATTGAATGTCTCACACATGTTGTTCTCAACTACATCACACTTACTATGGTCTTTGAAATATGCCCTACACCATGTTTCCTTGTTGTATTTCAGTAAGTCCTGAACAATATTTCCCCCCAGCTGGTCCATTTCATCCAACTTCTTGCTAAAGTAAACCTCAAATGTAGCTCTTGCACACTGCCAGAATTTTTTCCTTCTTTCCTCACCAGGCCAAGTTTGCTTCCAATTAGCCCAGATATGTCTAGCACACCATCTCATTTCAGCATTTGGCAATAACTGAGTTATTGCTAGATGAAGACCCTACAGTCATAAAAATTATATTGTTATAACTTAAACATAAATGAAAACAATTACACTTTAAAGAAAGAGTATTAGAAACCATACCTTCTGCATATCAGACATGACTGTCAGCCCTTCTCCTTCAGTTTCTGTCAAGTTTAGATCATGCTTGAGACACCTGATAAACCAAGACCATGTATCCTTTGATTCCTTTTCAACTACTGCCCAAGCCACAGGGAACATTTGATTATTTCCATCCTTGGAAATGCAGGAAAGCAGTTCACCTTTACATGTCCCCTTTAGGAATGCACCATCAAAGCCAATTATGTTTCTGCACCCTTCTAACCATCCAGTTTTTAATGCTTCAAGACAGACATAAATGCCCATAAAGACTTCCTTGCCAGAAACTGAATCCTTAGATGTCCTTATCACTACAGTAGTGCCAGGATTAGTAGACTTCAGCATTTCTGCATAATCATGAAGCCTAGCAAATTCTTTCTTGTAATCACCCATATTCTCCTTCATAACTATCATTTTTGCTCTTCTACAGGAAGTTTTACTCACATACAAGCCATATGATTGCCTAAGTAAGGCTTGAATCTGATGAAGTTTAATTTGAGGCTCACTAACTATTCTGTCTTTGAATTTTTTTGCAATCCATGGTGGGTTACACATCTTGTTCCTTGTTTTCTTGTAGCATTTATGGACAGGGTAGTATGTAATCACCCTAAAGTTTCTGGTGCTGCCTTCAATGCTACCAAGGATATGCCATGGACATCCATTTTTTGTGCACTTTGCCCTAACCCTTTCCTTCTC